AGTTGGCGGACGATGATGCTGATATGGTGGAATTTGTTCGGAAGTTGACTGTTGTTGGTATGGAGACCGCTGCTGGGAGTTAGACTGTTGTTGGGAGGAAGATTGTTGATGCGGATGTGCTTTCCCTGAAGTGATCATCTGTTTCAACTCATCCAACTCTTTTTGCTGTCTCTCATACTTTTCCTCAAGTTCTGAATATTGAGATTGCAAATTAGCATATGCTCGCCCAGTACGTGATCGAAGTGATGAAGATGTTGGCTGAGTTTGTGCCACCCAAGGAATCATTTCTGGCGTCACCCCTCTTCCATAACCACGAACTCTACCACGAGTCTCTAAACCCCTTGCTGCTACATAAGCTTGTTGCCTTAGTTCTGATGTTTCCTCGCCATGGGTTTCAACCAAACTCGTTAATTCCCGTGAGATCTTAACCTGAAAAAAGTATTCACTTCAACAGCCAAAATGGAAACAATTTAAAGTAAAACAATTTTTTTACATGTATTACTTGTCTAAATACAAATGATTAAATTTTAAACTCACCGCTAATTCCTCTGATGCATCATCTATCCAACTTTTGTTTTCATCTCGCCGTTTGTGCACTATATAAAACATCTCAATGGGATCGGGTTTGCGACCATGTTTTTTCTCCTATTTGTAAAACACAAAAAAGCAATCATAAATTTTATTTAAACGAAGAAGCAACATCTCAAATAAAGGCCTAATTGTTGTAAATAAAGGCCTAATCTCCCATTTACTGTATAATCTTGTTTGCATGGTCTGAAAATCTTCTCTCCTACAAAGAAATGTTGATGGCATCTGCCACAGTGCCACACATGAAGATGACAGCCTGAATATTTATCCATGTTTTCTTTATGCTTCTCATTCTGTGACCAAAAAGGCCGAGCTATTCCTCTGTTTTCCCCCTTCTAAAAACAAACAAGGTGAAGTTGTTATATATATTAACAATTAATTTATTGAAGTACACTGTTTCTGGTAGGATTTGAGCCCAAGTCCCAATCATGCATACTTGAATTTTAACTATGAATTGAGATTTAGGCATGACGCAAAGTTATGATCTCTGCATAATGTAATGGATATGATTTCGAAGTGCAGAATTTTAGAATGTATAGAAGTCCTTCAATGGAAAAGCTATTCATAACTGTTGCATTAATGTACAGGTAACAAATAGAAATATACAGTCTTCTACCTATGAGACTCAAATTATATATAACCTGTAATCTACAGGCCTCCTCGGTTTGAAGAGAAGTGAACCTTCATATTTGATTGATGATCAGCCAGCTATTGTGTTGTAGAATGTAAATGCATAAAATTTTCAAAATAGGACTTCAGCAGTATTTCTATTTAGTGGTGTAACCGATATAATCTTGAAACATCTCTACATGGTGAAGGGCCATTCTTATATGGCATTTATGACTCGGCTCGCCAAGTTGTCGCCAGCAACTCAGTCGCTGTTAAGATACTTTACCCTATATTTTGGGGCATAATGATCCTCAGGTAGACACACTTGCCAGCAGTAAACGTTTAGTATGGCATGATATTCTCTCAACTTACAATGGTATGCATTAGGCATGTGCTAATTTTGAACCTTCTAAGTTCTTTATCATTCATTGTGGCTTATTTCAGGCTTGATACTCTTTTGTTACACATAAAGGGACTTCTCTTAAAAAATGGTTTGTTTATAATAATGTGCCACGATGTTTGAGTTAGATAATAATGTTGTATAAGTAAATCCTAACCTTAATTGTAGTTAGGGGTACAAATTATCAGATAACCAGCCTAAATATGTGAAGTTCACTAGTAAATGGGCGTCCTATGAAGTTCAGGTGTTACATAGTTTCACACACACATATGCACGCACACGCACACACGCATACACATGCGCATGCGCGCACACATACAATTCGGGTATCTGGATTATATGTCAATCATGCATCAGATTTTTAAGTTTGTACTTATAATTAAACTCCTATGTCCTCTTATTTCCCAAAGACCTATGATGGAGGTCCCAGAAAACAGTTTCTTGTTCTTTCAATTTAATGCACTTACTTTGTCCCGTTCTTCAGACTTGGGAATAAAGGCCTAATTGTTGTTGTAAGTTATCAACTCTTATTTCACATTGAAATATGCATGGAGAAACGTCAAATAACAACATCACAGTCAAAAATGTGTATATTGAGTACCTGATGTCAATGCTCACCAAACACAAAATAAAACATGACAAATTCTATGAAACAACATCACAGTCTAAAGAAAAAAAGAGGTTTTGTGTTAACTTACATAATCAGCCATGTGTCGTGCGAAGCTCTTTGTGCCACCAGTGTGATTCATTTTTTGCCTCTTGCGGCTTTCAATATTCTTCTCACATCTAACCTGATGCGCAAAACATAATAAGAAATTATGCCTAATTTGAAATAAGTTTATATTATGGATGATAGTACTTACTTTATTTTTTGGATCAGTGTCCCAATAGTTAACCATTGCCCGCCATTGGTCGCGATCTACACGATCATCTCCACACAAGAATCGTTCTGGCAAACCAACATAGGGAGTGTAATACTTAGCTTTTAAACTTGCCTTATAGTTTCTGCACCTATCAGACAATCTTTGCAACATTACAAGTCGGATTTTAGGAATATTGGGAACATCTTCAGGCCGCCAATCTATGGTATCCTGCACTCATACAAGTGTTATACCATTTACAAGTGTTATAATATATGTTTCAATACATATTAAAGCTGAAAGTGTTCAAGAACATCATACATATATTGTTTTCCACACATGATCCATGGTAGTATCATCATGCAACCGCCAATCTATAGGCTTGAGGGGGAGAAACCTTGAATTTTTTGCTAGGCTACCTAAGTACCTAGACAGTTGGGCATCCTTGGGGTCAACGTACAATCCATCCTCTGTGAATGCAATAGACTCCTTGCCAGATTTTCCCCACTTTGGCTTGTCATAACCACGCCCTCTTTTCTTTTGCGTTTGACCTGCATACACTAAAGTTAATAACCATATAAAATAGATAAATAAATATTAAAACTAGGGTTTTGGTCGATATGTCGAGAATTTAGCAAATTTCTCATTCGAGGCATCCGAACGATTCTTCACCTTTCCAACACCTTGTATACGTGAAATGGGGTATGAGTGTATATAACTGGACTTGAATTCGTAGTGTACGTTCATGTGCACATTGACACGGGGGGCTTTTCCATTTTTCTCATTTCTGTACAGTAGCAGAAACTCAAAGAGCTGTCTGCAACAGCAGTAGCAGCAAGCAAGCAAGGCTCTTTGAGCTGCGGCTGCAGCAGCAGCTCTTGAGGAGCTGCGCAGCTGGCAGACAGCAGCTCAAAGAGCTCGCTGGCAGCTGGCAGACAGCAGCTCAAAGAGATGATGTCTGCAGCAGCAGCTCTCTGAGCTGCTGTCTGCAGCAGCAGCTCAAAGAGCATCCGACAATACAGTATCGATGTTTCAATGCCATTAGTTTATATCCAATTTATTGCATTCTGGTTTACTTAAATTTTGTTGGTAAAGATGGTTCATGCGGATATGGCTCGTTTGGTGCAACATATCCCGAGAAAGGAAAAGATTCACAAGTTTAAGATTGATCAAATAAAACTAGAATATGAAATAACAACATATGAAGAACTAAAGAGCTGATCAAAAAATTTAAGAAAACACGTACCATTATCATCATGAGTGCCATCAAATTCCCCTGTACTCTCTTCTATATTGTGTTCTTCGTTGGAAGCAGAATACTCAACTCTACTCATCTAAATAGTAAAAAATCCCAAACACAAAGTATGGCATCAATTATCAAATCTAACTTCACAAGTTTTTCAGTAATTTATTAACTAAACACTTTCAAAAAAATGCATGAGCAGTAAATCCAATGAATAACAAATAAAACAAGTGCAATTTCAAAAGAATCAATTCTACTAATAATACAATCACAAAATCTACTAATACAATTCTTCTTCACTGTCCTCACTTTCATCATCTTCGTTTTCCTCATCATCACCCTCAAGCTCTTCCTCATTACCTACAGAATCATTAGCAACTGGTAGTGGTAACTGCTTGTTAACAAAGGTTCCACGGATATCAGTTCTAACTTGTAATTCCTCATCGTCTAGTGCCTGATCATCAAGATTTGGTATGGCGTAATAATCATCTGAATTTAATGGGTTGGACATACTTGCTGATCCATCATCACTCTCCATGACATCAAAGAAATCCCTCGGGCTTAATTTAACAGCAACATTCCAATCCATGTCTTTTGGATCACAAACATAAAACACTTGTACAGCTTGTGAAGCTGTTATAAATGTATCGTTGTTGTGTGCCAAGTGTTTGAAATTCACTAAGGTGAAACCATAATTATCAAGCTTCTTCCCAGAGTTGCTGACCCAATCACAATCAAATAACACCACTTTACATCCATGACCTTCGGGCTCTCCAGGAAGACCATAATCACATTCGTAAATATTCTTTAAAACTCCGTAGTAGTCAACATTACCGGTAATCGGATTGTTGTCCCTCACACTAGAATAACTTGAGGTTTGTGCAGAAACAAAGACTCCACAATTTTGATTTTTATGGTTGTCATCAACCGATTTAATCCGGAATCTGCAACCATTAACAATACAGGTTTTATACTGTTTCACAGTCATATTAGGACCATTAGCAAGTCGACGTAAATCTTCTGTTACGGAAGAATCACCTTTTGCATGCAAATCATTCACCTGAGACAATAATTAACAACGTCAATTATATATTATAAAAAATCTACAACAAAAAATGATAATTGTATAACACAAAGCTGTAACTTACATGGTTTTGGAACCAAGTAGGAAATTCCTTATTTCTCAAATTCTCTACTTCTCGAACAGTTTTCCGTCGGTGGATTTTGCGTAACTCCGCCATCCTTTTTCTATTAAAGTTAACCATAACAGACAAGTGTGAACTTAAAATTCACTTAATGAACTAGACATACCAAAAAAAGGGGCTAAACATCTAATAAAATATCTCACTCTAGAAATGGAGAGACTTCGCTGCAATTGAACAAAATATATTTGCGACATTGCTCCCATACACTTCTTTCAAGATCTACTTGTGTGGCTTTACCCACACAACGACCTGAGTATGCAAAGATTGACAAGCCTTCACGAGGGGTAGAAACATCGGCATTACGACCACGACGAGTACGACGAGTCTCAATGTCTGATAAGTACATGGAGCAAAATGCCAAAGCCTCGTCTGCAAGATATCCTATGCAAATGCTCCCTTCCGGATAATTTTTATTTCGAACATATCGTTTCAATGTTTGTAAATACCTTTCGAGAGGAAAAAAGCATAAACTGAGTTATAGAAGGCAAGTGAAATTTAGAAGCAAAAAAGTTCAATAATTTTTTTTGTGTTTTACCTTTCAATGGGATACATCCATCGATATTGGACTGGTCCAGCAATAGCAGCCTCGTGGGCGAGATGAACTAGTAAGTGAACCGTTATATCAAAGAATGAAGGAGGGAGCATTTTCTCCAAATAACATACGGTCAATGCAATTCTATATTCCAAATGCTTGAATGATGCTTCAGATTCTTTCTTACTACACAACCGTCTAAAGATTGCACTTAACTCAAGCAAAACAAGAGTAAGAGGTCTAGGCAAAACTCTTCGTATCGCAAGCGGGAGTAATTGGTGCATTATAACATGATGATCATGACTCTTCAAACCATGAATTTTTCGATCCTTCACATCAACAGACCTCGCAACATTTGATGAGTATCCATCAGGAACTCGCACCTTCGATAACACACGACAAAATAGTGTCTTTTCTTCATTAGTCATAGAGAATATTGCAGGAGGTAAGTATGTCCTAGCTCCCACACGAATTGGATGGAGACCTTTCCTTATATTGAGAAGTTCTAGGTCAGCACGAGCTTCAAGTCCATCCTTTGTCCTTTTAGAAGTGCCCAACAATGTATACAAAATTTTTTCTGATACGTTCTTCTCAATGTGCATCACATCTAGATTATGACGTATCAAAAGATGCTCCCAATATGGTAAAGAAAAAAAATACTTTTCTTTTTCCATGGATTATTAGTACCATTTCTTGGTTCTTTGGAGGCAGCTGAAGTATTTCTTTTTCTTTTCTTTTTTCGTGTAATATCATCAGTTTCAGATTCTGAAGGTGGTGTTTTCCCAAAGGTAAATGTCAGATTAGACATTTGTGCTATACACTGGGCCCTGATCAACATCTTTGGTGCTTGACCCCTCTCGCATTTGCCATCAAAAGATGCTTCATCATTTCGAAATCTATGCGTTATGGGCAAAAATCTACGATTACCCAAATAACATTGCTTTTTACAATTAGGCAAGCGTTTGGATACTGTTTGATGATGACACTGAGGACATGCAAGCTTCCCCTTCGTGCTCCATCCCGAAAGATTCGCATATGCAGGAAAGTCATTTATTGTCCACAACACAGCAGCTTTCATGTTAAATGACTGATTGGAAAACACATCATAAGTGTTGGCACCAACTTCCCACAACTCCTTTAGCTCATCCGTTAAAGGTTTCAAGTACACGTCAATATCATTTCCAGGTGCATTAGGGTCTGTAATAAGTAAAGAAAGAAACAAGAAGGGTTGCTTCATGCACATCCACGGAGGCAGATTATAAACAGAAATTACGACGGGCCAAGTGCTATGATCACTACTCATATGTGCAAAAGGATTGAACCCGTCGCTTGCCAAACCCAATCTTACATTTCGAATTTCAAATGCAAAATTTGGGTACAACGAATCTAAATGCTTCCAAGCTGGAGAATCTGACGGGTGTCTCATAAATCCATCTTTAGGGCATTCGGTCGCATGCCATCTCATATATTCTGCAGTATGTTTTGACATATACAACCTTTTCAACCTCGGTGTTAGTGGAAAATAACGGAGAATCTTAGCTGATACTTTCTTAATAGAATTATCCCCAGTTGAACTATCACCAACTCTTGTTACTTTTTTCACTTTATATCTTGACGCACCACATGTAGAGCACACGGTTAAGTTTGCTGTCTCTTTCCAAAACAACATGCAGTCGTTAGGGCAAGCATCAATCTTCTCATAAGTAAGGCCCAAATCATCAATAATCTTTTTAGCTTGTGAAGTAGACCGTGGCAAACAATTTCCCTCAGGCAACATATCTTTAAAAAGCTCTAAAAACATATCAAAAGCCTTATTAGTCACATTTCCCAAACACTTGATCTGGTACAATTTTACGACGGCATCCAATTTTTTATACTTCTTGCATCCTGGATACATATCCTTATCATCTTGTTCAAGTAACTTAAAAAATCGCTCTGCTTCGGGTGTTCGACCATCAAAAATAGGCTGCCTCGATGACCCTATGTTCTCACCAATATTTGGTTGCACAAATGTCTCATTAAGGAAATCATGCATTTCACCTACATCTCCTCCTTCAGCAACATCCATTTCTATGACATTTGTTGATTCAACGTAAGGCTCACCATGATGTGTCCATCGAGCATTCATGTATAAAGGGTCCATTCCATGCCAAAGAAGATGTCCCACCACAGTCATCTTATCTTCAAAATAACGATTACAACATCCTTTACAAGGACATGTGATCTTATCTTTACGACTAGACTTGGCAAGGGCTTCATCTACAAATAAATTCAACCCTGCAACATAATCTGGACTTCGACGATCAAAATGTACCCAACTTTTATCCATTATTTAAGTATTTTGCAGAACAGAACACCAAATTGAACCTATTCACACGTGCAAAACCTAATCAGTCAATGGTTAGAACTAAGTAAAAAAATGGAAAGAGATAGAGACAAACATCAAACTCCTAATGTGAAATGGAGAATACAACAGAAGTGAAAACAGTCTAGATGGAATAATTTATGGATTTCTCCCTTTGAACTAGCCACTGATGTCTTTCCTTAGATGTTAAAGTTGTGATTTTCTGCCTACCAAAGGTACTAGGCCTGATAATTAGTGCTGTCAAATGAGTTGATATTGGGAGTTAAAGCAAGTCTTCGGCCACCCTCTAAACATTACTTAAATTTGAAATTGGTGCAGGAAAAGGGAAGTAACTTTCATTTGTTGGCGGGTGCTTGTTAGAGCATACATAATAATTAACATTTAGTGAATGAACCAGGCTAGATTCCTAGACATAATTGTTGACAATTTATTATTAGGTGGATCACATTCTTACCAGATCCCTGGGGTATTTTAACAGGAGGCTCAACCAAAACGTATAATACAGAGAAAATTTTATATTTTAACCTTGACTTCTTACTATTTTAGCAGGGATAAGTATAGATGACAAAGTAAAATTGACCTCATTTGCTTATTGTTATGCTTGTAATCTTACTAACTTCCTATTTAAATAGTCTTCAGATTGCAATTATACGTTAATGAAACATTATTCCATTACCCAGTTTGTTTTTATGCTTGGACAAATGCTTTCATTCTTCTCCTTATGTTCTATGCCTTTTGCAGGAATAATTAATTAACGACACAAAAGTAACCAATAAGGAATATAATAAAAAGAAATAAACTCAATAAAAGTCAATGGAATAATCATGATGCTAAAATAACTCTAAAAAATGGAATTACCTTGAGGGCACCCTTGCAATTGTGGCTACGAAATTATACTGAAAAAAATTATACCAACATTAAAACAATTATACTGAAAAAATATAAAAAGAAAGATGATCTATAAAACAATTACACTGAAAAAAATAGTCTAATCTAAGATTTTTTTTTATACTGAAAAAATAGTCTAATCTAAGTTTTTTTTAATTTTCTTAGATAAAAATAAAATTAAATTGTCTACAAATCTAAAATTAAATGTTCTACAAATTATACATGGCCTAGTCCTCTTCTCCACAAATCTAAAATTAAACGTTCTACAAATCAAACAATACTCTAATCTAAGATGATAATTAAATCATCTAAGATGAAAACCAAATCTAATCTAATCTAAAATTAAATGATCGAGAAGAGGTAACTGCAGAATAGATTTTTTTTTATCTAGGATGAAAACCAAATCATCTACGCGCGAAGAATGAAGGGCCAATCGAGTAGAGGTAACTGCAGAATAGAGACGAAGAAAAAAACTTACCGATCGAGAAGAGGTAGGGCCGCTCAGATCTGCTATGTTCTTCAGATGTAGGGCCGCGCGTTCTTTTTATTTTTTGGGGGGAGAAAGAGACGGCATGAGTGGATTTTAGGGTTTAATAATATTTAGGGGCAAAAGTATTTGCCTCTGTTCCAAATCTACGCGGGTTCTTTTTCGGGGGCGAATATTTGGGGCGTGGGATTTTCTTTTCGGAGAATAGAAGCGGCGGGGGTTTGTTTTTTAGTTTTTAGAAAACATTAGGGGCAGATATATATGCCTCTATTTATTCTAAATTATTTAATTTGGCGTACTTATTGTTTTCAATTCCCGCCAAATTTGTAGGGGTATTATAAAGTGCCCCAAATAATAGTAATAGGCACATATTCAACATCCGCACCTAATTCATAATTAATAGGGGCAAATCACTATTTATGCCCCTAATAGATCGCCCCAAATGCTCACTTTTTTTGTAGTGGAAATTAATGTATTATAGTATACTGTTGCGATATTAAAAAAACCGATAAATTAATTATGTGACCATCATCCCTACAAACACTCATATTAAATATCTGCAGATCAATTATGAATCACTATATAGAACAATCTTATTTACTTTAATGATTATATAAAATTTTGGGATTGTATCAAGATATATGGATATATATATTGGTCGAGAAATATATGGACAATTTTTTATCATAATGATCGATCGATCAGTAGCCTGCATATATATTATTTTCTCTACTACCAAAACTACATTCCAAAAAGACGCAGAAGAATTCGGTTGTGTTGAAACACTTTCGATCGCATACATTCTCGCTAATTCACAGAATGAGCTAGATAGGGTTCACCCGCGCCGTGAGCTCCACAAGATCGATCGAAGTGCGCCAGACACGGAGAATGCCTAGGCCTCTATCAGTTCTTAATTATCATCAACATCAAACATGCGAGAGCGCCAAATATGAGTGCTCTCAAAAAAAAAAAAAGTCGAAAACAACTTAACTTATTCAAGTCGGCGGCGGTTCAAACATGATTGATCACATATAATATACATAAGGGCCTGTTCGTTTGTTTTCTAAAAACCAAGACATGAAAATGGAAATGGTGAAAATCTCAAAACTCACCATTTCCTCCATTTCCATCCCTAAAACTCACCCACAACATCCAATAAAATATTATTTCCATCAAACAACTCATCCACATCATCTAATAAAATATGATTTTTATCTAACCACTCATCCATCACATCTAATAAAATATTATTTTCATCTAACAACTCATCCATCACATCTAATAAAATATTATTTTTATCCAAACATCACTCAACTCATCTCTTCTCATCATTTCAAATTACTCACATCATCCAATAAAATATTATAACAATTCACCTCATCTCATTAACATTTCATTTCTTCATTTTCATCCCAAAAAGTTATGAAAACACTTTTCTT